TGTGTGTGAACTAACCAAGGGTGCCTGATTGCCTGTTCAGTGGTGAAGCGCTTGGTGGGGTTTTTCTCCATCATATTCCTGATAAAGTCTTTAGCTGTTGACAGATGGTAACTGCTAATTAAAAAATGCTGCTAACATACAGTACTACACATTAGGTATCCTACTGTGGTATTACATTTAATGCAAATGTATTAATGATTAACAGGCGAGTTTCACGCCAGTGCTTTAATGTGAACGTTTTTCAGGATTACAAATTAACTCACTCCACTTGAAACATTATTATTGTGAAGGTAATTGCTCTGAAACCCTGTATTCAAGATCACCAAACACAAACAACAATCCATGAAATGGTTTCAAATGTCTCATACATCAATAGATACTGTCATAAACTGAACTATAAAAGCTCAAATAACAAACATTATACAAAGTTTTTTATTCTTAACCTCTGATATACATTACACTGATGTATTGTTTCTTCACACATATAATGACTGTCCCACTGTTTCTGGCTATGGCAACTTTTACATTTTGTTCTTTCTGTGATGGCACCGTGACAATGGGAGACAGATACTGTGATGCTGTAACTGAAATAATAGTTACATAACATAAGAAGAGAGAGCAGGTCCTACAATGTAATGTTCATTTTTATCATTTTAGTTGAGTAGTCTAATATTTCCTCTCCATTTATATGTTCACAACAAATTTCTTGTACTACCTGTCTTTCATAGAATTAAATCTTACATTTCCTTCAGGTTTGGAGGTTAGTTAACATGTCCCTTAACAATAATCAAAATCATTCAGGAAGAACCATCCTCACCCATTTAGCGTTGAGTTCTTTTACCTGACGTAATCTAAAGCATCTCAGGAGAGGATGACAGACTGGCACGCTGATCTATATTTGGTTAAGCTCTAAGGTTTTATAAACAAATCCTGATCCATAGTTAGCTGGAGTCAGTCATAGTCATGGTACTATTTTTGTAAGAGTTCATCAATCAGCCAGGGCTGGAATTAAATCTTTGGAAGCTCGCACCAAGCTTTCAACACTCCCTTGTGTTTCAGCCAGTGTAATTCCACACAGAGAAAATATAGAACTGGTAGACCTTTAAATTGTATTATATAAAAGGTACAAGGGGGACATGTGTAAAAACTTTTCAAAACATTCTTTTTCACCGGAGGGGGAATTAAACCCAGGTAAAAGTTATTGTCATTTGGCTAAACAGTGTTGAAGCACTGCATTAAACTGAATCAAAACTGAATTCATTTGTACTCAGAAGATTTTAAGTGCTGTTTTCATACCTGACTCAGAAATGTCGTCCCAGAATGGTGAATGAAAAGCATACTCAGCTCTCCTGATCTTTGAAAACAGACGAATTTCATTATCTTCAAAGAATGGAGGGTAGCCACAGAGCCTGCAACACACAGAGAGAACTCAGCTCATCTTTTCACATCCACCCTTCGTGAATCTTTGGCCAGATACTTTTGGGAATGATTTTGGATACATTTAGCAGCTATTGTGCAGTAATTTGTTCCTGGTTACCACAATGCAAATATTCAAAATAAACTATGAACTCTGGTTTGACATATCTGCTGGGAGTTGTCTCCACAGGAACAGTCACTGACTCTTAGCTACTGTACTTCCTGTTGTCCACACTCACGGAGATATTATGATTTACTGAACAACTCATTAAATAGGGTTAGTAGGGAAGGTCGTCCACCAACCAGAAGGTCAGTCTTTCAATACCTGCAACCTCCAGTTTGCAATCTTAACTTGGGCAAGATACTAAACCTCAAATTGACCCCAACAGCTGACTGGTGTATGGAAAAAAGCACTGCCCATAGAAGTGTAAGAAGCTGTACTAATGTGTGCGTGAATGGGTGACTGTGACTTGTACTGTAAACCACTTTGAGTGAAAAGCATTACATAACTACACGGTATCCAGAAGGCTTGTTTCTGACACTTAGGCTTACTGAAACTGAGCCAGTGTTTGTCACCAGGTGGCACTGTAGGTAGTCATGGTAGTCTGCTTTGAGTGTAGGACTGACTGACTGATGTGGTGTATAAGGAGCGCTGTGTGATTGTTAGAGACCACAAATGTATTTACAGAATGTATGTGATGACTCCAATGGACCAGCAGTCCACTGCTTTGCTGTAGGGTTTCTGGGCCAGAACCTCAGGAGCTGTTGAATGAAACACAGCAGGGTTAGGGTTAGTGAGTATGGGTGAGCATCATGCAGGGAACACAAAGTGTATTAGCTACATCCATTTAAGCTGATATATTTTCACAAATAGACTGATATATGTTCTCTGGTTATAAGTACTTGGAATGTGGACACTTAAAAAAATAAATAATAAAATTGAGAAATTTGTATTTCTTAAAAGCAAACCTTATTTTTATCAAAACAGCTACTTTCTGTGTAAATAATGACTTTCATGATTAGTTTTTTTTCTTAGATGTACTCACGTAAATCACAGTAAACTAAATATCCTATATACTTTCATCAATTAAAAGTACAGTTTTATATTAGCAGGGAACAGTTATAAATGCAACATTTCCATGATGTGTATACTCTTCCCCAATAACTTACCAACATATCCTGGTGTCCCACAGGCTGTGGACATGACACCATGCTCCACTGTCTTAGACAGACCAAAGTCACTGACCATGATCTTAGCATTCTTGTCTGTGTTATAGTACAGCAGGTTTTCGGGCTGCTCAGAGACAGAGAAAGAGAGACAGAGAAACAGAGACAGAGAAACAGAGATAGAGAAACAGAGAAAGAGAAAGATGGAAAGTGAAATGAGGAACAGAGTGAAAATACAGTATGTGTGTGCATGTGTGTGTAGAGGTCAGATGTATGTACTCATCAACTACTTTATAGAATCAAATTATCATTTTATTTCCAATGATGTTGGTAGTTGCAGAGTGATGACAACATGTTCTGCTGTACCACAGGATGTTGACATCACACCGTGCTCTGACAACGTGCACACACCGACATCCCTTTGTCATCTGTGTACAGCAGGTTATCTACAGTCACCTGTTTGAACACTGTGCTTAAGGATCTTAAACCACCTGCTTAGTAGATGTGTGCTGATAGAACATTTTATTGAAGGATTAATATTGACAAGGAGTCTTGTGATACTGTATGTGTCAACTTGATCACGTTCAAACTTAGACCATGTAGAACTGTGTTTTAGTCATTAAAATTTTCATTGTGTGCGAAAAAAATGTTTCATTGCATGTGTGTTTGTCTTACCTTGAGGTCCCTGTGTACAATGCTGTTTTCATGCAGGTAGCTGACAGCCTGCAGCACCTGTCTGATCACTGTGCTTGCATCCTTCTCGGTGTAAACACCCTTGTCTAAAATTCGATCAAAAAGCTCCCCGCCTGACACCCTGCACACACACACACACACAAATCATTAGTGTTTTTGTGTGTCTAGAGATATTGTTGCCTTCCTTTGACACTGGAATCTAGGACAGAAAAGTTGAGGGCTCATGAACCCCACACAATTATGCTTTAAATATTAGCAACAAAGCCACAGTTTCCAAATATGTCAACTTGGATCTGGGAAAAATGTGTTTAAATTATGTGTGAATATAGTGTAAATAAACTGCTGATGCAGAATATATAATGTATGACACGGTCAGACTGTGTGAAACAGGATGATTTTTTAAGGAACAGAAGAAGCTGTGCGTTCATAGATTTAACTTAAATTTGAGATAAAACTAGAAATGCCACACTGCAATTGTATACCTCCACCAACCAGTGCAGTTTTTGTTCGCATAATCTTCAGATCCATTAGATCACCCTGACCTTTGACCACTGACATCTGATCTGATCAGGTCAAAAGTTGGATATAATCCCTCAAGGCATCCTTGAGAAATCCCACTCACAAGAATTGGATGGACAGACAAAGGGACAACTCCAAAATATAATGCCTTAAAAATGTCCAAAGGTAATATGAGACATATGAGACACATTGCCAATTCACGAAGAGTGTGATAATTATCAAGGTATGGGTAATAGCGATGTTGGATTGAACCAGGTTCAGTTTGGTTGAGAAAGCAGTTCATATACTGCATGTGTGTTTGCAGAGTCAATAAATCCATCGAGTTGAGCCCAAATAATTTGTGTTATTTGACAATAATAAGTCTACTTACAGTTGCATGACCAGGTAATAGTGTGTTCGACTCTCATAGAAATCCTCCAGTCCCACCACATTTTCATGAGTTATCCTGAAAGAGTAAGAAAGAGACTAAAGAGTCACTCCTGTCCGCCAGCTGGATATTAACCTAAACAGTTTACAGGCAAAGAGAAGAAGGTGCTACACATATGATTCCACAAATTCAAAAAGTAATTTGAGATTGACTTCACATGCTGCACTGTTCTCTGATGGCAAGAACATCATGGAAACCACCTGCATGAATGTGTGTACACATGTATGAAAATGTGTATTTTACCTTCTTAGCACATTGACTTCATTTTCCAGGTTGCTATGAGCGAGGTGCTTTTTCTTCAGACATTTCAGGGCATACAGGTTCCCTGTTGTCTTTTCTCTCACCATAAAAACCTCTGAAAATGACCCCCTGCACAAACACAGCAAAGACAGACACATACAGTATTCAGATGGGGGTTAGTGGAGGGGACTCAGTCAGGAGAAATGCTCAAACTAATTCAAATGACACAACTTTATTTGTTACTTATTATTAGCACAAGTTTTTGTTTATGACGGACCCCAGAGGAGAGAAGGGTCACTTTTTCCTTTTCTTTTCTTGATTTAATAAGGTTTGAAAATGTTCTCTAATGAAGACTTTAGGTTTTTGGTTTTTATCAGCTAAAAAAAGGTGAAAATTCTGGTTGTGTGTTTGGTGTGAAACAAACATTATGCCATATCAACTGAGAAAAAATACGTGGCTCATGTTACATTAGGCTGTTAAAAAAGCTACTATTTAACCATAAAACTGTGTAAAACCACTTAATATACAATATCTCTGACTGGAAACTTAGCGTAAGCTAAATCTACCTGCAGGTTAGAGCGGTGAGTGTTAAATCAGTCTTAGAAAGGGCACCATGACACATGGAATCAGACGGACCAGAGTATTGGATGGGTATCAACATCACATGTCTTTCTTAAGGTTCACAGTCGGGTAATCCTACTTTTTGGCCCCTAAATCGAGCATCTGTACCAGTTCTGACCAAAAAGCCTCAAACCCAGTCAAGCAGTCTAGGATGTGCAGGGCACAAATGCACCTTTGACTAGTTGAAAGAAAAGTGTGTTACCTTCAGGGTAAGATTTTTATAACGATACTAGTGAAATCCTTCTATTTACTTGTCATTACCTTTAATCCCATCATATAATTTAAATTAGTTTTTAATTCGACTTCTATGGGGAGATTGAGACTGTCCTGCGAACAGGTGTTTTCTACCTTTGAGAACAGATTTTGAAGGGGAAAAAAAACACATCTGCAAAGTAACACATATGTTAACTCCAACACTTTTCAACACACGCCTGCACCTGCTTATACAACCCCCCATTTAGTACACCCATATACCAATATAGTCAGCTACACTCTTAATCCTATAATGAAGTGGTGCTAGGATGTTCCTGCACTGCGGGTCTGACGTCAGTGCTCAGGAACAACACACACACACACACACACACACACACACACTCACACACACACACCAGAGCCTGACTCATTCACAGCCAGCCAAAGAGAGGCACTTTAAGCAGCTTTAATGTGCAGGACTAGCCTGGGGAAGTAACACCTTCAGCAACAACCCACTTGTTATGGGTCATTATACTGACCTGTGCTGATATGAAGCCAAACTGGTATCAATATTTTTCATTTCTGGGAAGATCCTAACAAAGCAATTATCTCTTTCTTTGCAGAACAAGACAGACACTCAGTTTGAGTACTTTAAGTTTTTTTGAACGACCATATCAGCAGGTTTACAAAGTTTGGGCCATTACATTTTACAATTATTTTGCTTAGTGGTGTTTTTTATGACTACATGCAAAATTGGTGGAGTACCCCTTTAAATGGAAAAGTAATCATGATGTCTGTTGTTTATTGACACTGGCAGATTTCAGTCCTGGTCAATCTGGTGACACCTGTAGTCATTGAAGGTAACAACAAATGTCCCATGATTCTGGGGACAGCAATTCAAACTATTGTAATTTTAATAATAAGCCAGATAATAACTTTCTTCATAATTCTGTGAGCAACCAGGAGATGTTACCTGGTCGAGAAGAGGAAGGCAGCTCTGCGTTTGACTCCACATCCACATGTCTGCTTCTGACTCTTCCATTTATCAAACTAATCCATTGTTAGAAAAATTTGTAGACACATTTATAATAAGTATAGCAGTAAGGGATTAGCTCACTGACAAACACCTCAGATTTCATGTGACTACTCCATTATAAGCATCAATGTAATTTAACTTACAACAGACACCTTCTATGTGTGACATGACTTCATGTAAATGTGATCATTTTCAAGATCCCAACTTTAATAAATGGACAACACAGCTGTTTGTTGTTTGTTGTGTGTGTGGTTAACAATACGAAGTGGTTAGCTGTGTTTAGCTGTGACATTACACAGATGCTATAAAAGGCTCCACTGATAAAACAAGCTCAATCTATCACGTTCAAAGAAGTCTGCCCTCCCCTTCTAGAGAGTTTAACTTTCACAGATGAAATCAGGGTAGTGGCTGCAACCAATTCTATATTGGCTATTGGTTTGATATTTGCTAATGGTAATGACAAGCGTGACTCCAGATTTGTGTAAAATGGTCACACATGTTCCCTGGGAGAACTCTCCAACTTCAGTGAAAGCTGAATCAAAATTTAAAGCTGGAACACAAAGAGTAACTGGCTGTTGTTTTCACTTTTATTCATGTTGTGGTTTGGATTGTGCAAACCTGTTTTTGTCTGTTCCTGCTGCATCACTCTGTTTCTGCAGGATTTTCTGACACAGCCACTCACAAAGCATTGTACCAAGCCTTACTGCTGTCTGATGTCTGTGCCAGCTGCCATCAACAGATGGGTTTTAAGTCCTGATTCAAATAAATAAAGTGTGACAAAGAAACCAAGCAAATACAAACTGTTCTCAAAAAGCAGTTTCATGAAAACTATATCTGCTGTGATTCTCATTAGCCCCACCCCATGGCTTGTAAAATAAAGCAGCTCACTGCAATATTTTTTAAAATAATAGTTAAACTGGGGGGGGCTTTCAAACTGAAGCAGTCAACATTCATTTGTCAGTGAACAGTTTTGCCTTGTCCAATAATGTCAATTATCTGTAAAATATTATTTTTTTTGCAATTTACATTTGTCTGCATAAAAACGTGAATGCTGCTTCAAGAGCTTCACAGAGCAATCACCTTGTCAGTCTCTCAACTGTGTGTATTTTCTGCAGGAATACTTACGATCCCATTTTCCCTTTGAAGTCAAAGACATCCTTGATGTTACTGATGTTTTTCTTCCAGCTGCAGATGATCTCCTTCCGCCCCATCTTGGCTCTGACGTTGCCGTAGATTCCTGAAGTACAGGTGACAAGAATAAATACATTTCTTACGGGTTAAAAAACAGAAAGACTGCATGATGCATCATGTTTCAATTGGAAATAAGATGATTTCAGTTTGCTCAGTATTACATTAACATGTGTCTTTTCTCAACAAAATCCATGTACATCTGTGCACACACTTTGCTCTTTATCTCTGTTCCTGACATATGACCATATGACCATACTAAGTGTATGTATATATATATATATATACACTTAGTATGGTCATATGTGATGTTGTGTCTCTGTAATTATTTTGTAAATGTTACGGTCAGGACTTGCTCCATATGGAAAGTGCCACTACATAACTTTTGTTATGATATTCTGCTACATAAATAAAACTATAATTACTTCAGAGCACATCTTCAAGTGCAACATCAAATATATGTTTTATCAAAAAAGCTCCATTAGTCCAGAGAGTTCTAAAGGGCAGGAAACCCCAGGATGCAAGGCTGTGTGATATAGAATTAAGGACATACTGTATAAATGTAAGGCTCACAAATCGCTGAGCTACAAATGTTGTGGTCTTATCTAGCCATCAGAGTTTCATATGAAGCTACTATAATTATAAGGAATGAAAATTATCAGGTCTGTCTCTTCTTTGTTTCCCAATGAGAACAATTGCCGTTTTTATGCATCTACAGACCACTGATTGAATTTCATCTTGGGCAGTAAGAAGACCTCCTAGTCGACCATTAACTCAATATAATCACGTATGAACGTCCAAAGTTCCTGACTTTTAACACATTTTATAACATGAGTATTGGTGTACCCTCATTTCTACACCTGTACCAGACTTTATAAAGTATAATAAATTCTATTAATGATTTTATCAATTTTGTGGGTGTGTGTGTGCCACCCATGACACGTAAATTCATATCAGTTACATATTGGCCCACCCCTACTCAGGAATTACTATTAAAAACTATCACTATGCCCAAGTTTTAGTCCCAAACATGTTGAGTGACATTGGAGAGCTACACTACTGCAGTAACATGTAAAAACACATGGGTGTTATGAAAGTTTCCTGGAAGCTAGTGAAAGGAGAACTCAGGCAGCAATTGATGTCTTATGTCTTGATGCATCAAGGAGACCAGAAGGTGGAACAATATACAAACGCTAACAGAGTAACATGAGCAACTGTCACCCCCAAGTCTAAAGATGTCTCCCACAGTATCTCCGTATATCTTCCTCACCCTGTGTCACCCATTCTTACAGCACATCAATGAATGAGCTAGAATTGCTGTCACTCTCTATGCAACATGTAGGTGTTCAAATCTTATTGGATAATGCTGTAATATGCAAAAGAGTTAACCTGACTTTGGGTACTGTTTATAGAGAGAAGGATGTGTGTGTGGAATTAGCCAGGCACTCTTCTCTTAATGGTGTACAGATATAATGTAATATACACTATACATACATAATACAGTATATAGTGGCATATATAGTATGTGTGAGGATATAAAAACATTCCTCAACACTGAGTATGCTTTGACTTTTCTCAGAATCAAATAAAAGTATTTCAGGTATTTCTGTCCCCTCCCATTCAGACTGCTTTCCATCCATCCTGAGGCCAGGCCAATCACAACCATTTATCTAAAATGGGTTGGATTTGATACGATGACTGACAGAGAAGCATGACTGAAATATTTTTTTAGCACTAATGTGGAGACGTCTGCTGAATCCAATACCATAACAGTGACAAACTTACTGACAATTTGTTTTCTCTAAAAGAAGAACAAACAACTGTGTATACTGAGTTTATTTATGCGCTAAGTAGCAGATTTCCAATCTCTGATTGACCCATTCGGTCTGGTGATACCAGGCTAATACCCTGATCAAAATAGAGGTTTCCCATTAGGCTACCAGAATATTATGTGCCCAACAAAATGCAGAGCTTGTAAACAAGGTTTACACATTATTATTCGTTTCATATTCAAAGAGGGCTCAAACTGAACATGTGAAATATATTCAGGGAAGACATGATAACACTGAGTGAAAAGAAACAGACAGGCAGATAAGCAACCAAAGAAAGGTTGGAAAAGGCCTAAGCCTCTATACTAAACAAGACGTGAGCATGCTCTGGAGGGGAAGAGCACTGTGCTCATTGTTGCAGGCAGATGGTATAGTGATATAACAACATCTCTGCATGTGAAGGTGCAGCCGCTGGAGGTGGTATAGTCTATATATAGAAACAAATCCCAATCCAGATGACTGAAATTGTCCACTCACCAAACAACTGACGGGTATCTGTCAGAATGGTTTGCCTTATTGCTTCAGCCACTGATCTTTGATGTGTCATTCCAAAGCTCTATTTTCCCCTCTGTGTCTCTTGTGTTGCTCTTTTCAAATGCAGATGTTTTGCTGTCCTCTACATATCCCCTAATTTGAACTCAGGACATCAGCCCTTCTCTGCAATACTCTGCATCAAGTCTATCTTCATAATTTTGTCTCACTAAGTTTTGTCCGACGGTTTGTCCGACCTCAAGCTTGTAGTATTAAAAGTCTGACAAAAGTCATCAAAGATGTCAGCCCACCTCTGTTGAGTGTCCTGGTTACATAAACAGTTGCATGTCCTTGACTGAGGTCAGTTTTCACCTATGGTTCTCTCTGAGTAAAGCCCATTTGTACCTATCGGTTACACAAGCTTCAGAAAAGCACTGGATTAGAGAGGTAAATAACAGTGGTTGGTTAATCTTCTCAGGCATCCCTACTGTCCCCCGTACATCTCATCTACTGAATTCCTTCCTTGTGTCTGTTGAGGGAACAGATTAGTGACTGATTCCCTGACAGGATCAAAACTGGGTCATTTTATTTTTCTGGCCACGATACGCCTATGAACTCTGACCTTCCAAAATTATTTAGTGAAATATAATGATAGTATAGTAAGTTATGAACCTGCAATTGTTACTATCACAAATAATTATGGTTACATTTTAGATTTTTTACTTTTTCATGCATAAAATCCAAGAGCAGAATAATTCACAAATATCTCGACTGATTTATCCCTACTCTGTAACCTGGAAGAAATATGTTGAAGAACATTTTCAATTTTGCAGTGACAACTTCCATTCATGCATTAGTCACACAGGAAAATAAGCTTTTGAATCACTCTTCTTATAACTCTGCTGACACTTGAACCATTTCGTCAACATTCAGCAATACGGTTTTCATTCAAGCAATCAAGCAACTTTAAGAACCCAAAACTTTAGAGCTTTATGTTAAAGATTTAGGCGACAACATTTGTTCTTTAGAATAGCAATACACACACACGCGTACACAACTGGCTGTGACTGTGTTAAAACTATACAGAGGATTCTTGTAAATTAAGACTATACCTTTGGTTATATATCCATTAGTTTGGTATCTCTGATGGTTCAAGTTTAAACATCCATGAAATGATTCTATATAAAAAGACACATAATAAGAAAGATGGTGAGTACCTGAGGAGCGGTGCAGAGCTGGCTCAGTCGAGGTATCCGTGGATGAACCTGACCGTCTCCAGCAGATTACAGCCCCTCACGGCCGGAGGGCGGAGCCTAGTCAACTCATCTCCTCAGCACCATTACACAACATGCCACACTCTGCAGCGCCTCCTGACACTCACAGAGAGCTGAGACATGCTCTCTGCCATTCAGCTCCCTCTCCACTAACAGTGCTAAGTGATTGGAAGTTGAGTGGTCCTGCAAGTGATGATTAATTTCTTTGCTGATCAACCAATCAAACATATTCATTCGTGCAACACATTTCATGCAGTTTAGTAAAGTTCAAAGAACTTCAGTGATGACTGATGCAATGAGAAATTAAGACTGGCTGAAGACTATAATTTAGTGAAATAAACTAAACAAATTTACAAATTATGACTGTTTGTGATTATGTCATACACATAGAGACAGTACATCTGCCATAAAGATTACGTCATATGGCCGTTAGCTCTTTAAGTACAGCCTGTTTCTAATGATGCTTTTTGTGATGAAAGATTGATATAATATGTGTATGTGTCTCTGCATTCATCACAGGTGGTCAGTTGTTCACCACCTTTGTCCACTCACAATCTTACAAAAGATTGAATAGAATAATAGAATTATTAATTACACCGATTCTGGACAGAAAATTCTATAGTCAGTGATTGTCTGATAAAATTTTAAAGACCTGCTTCCTTCTACACTTACATTACAACCATGTGTCAGTACAATTTAGCTGTCGCCCAGCTAAAAAAGAAGAAGGTAAATGAGAGTAGATCAGCTCCATGGTATAATTTTCAAACACGTGTTTTAAGACCGACATCACGTAAACTAGAGAGGAAGTGGCGTTCCACCAGTCAATCTGACTTTCACCTAGCCTGATGAATTACAAGAAAGCACTCAGAAATGCCAGAACCTCTTATTATTCATTTTAATAGAACAAAATGGTTCTTGAAGGTTCCTCTTCAACACTGTAGCCAGGCTGACACACAGTCACACCTCTACTGACCCATCTATCCCTCTAACAATGATTTCATGAACTTCTTTACGAATAAAATTATAACCATCAGGGATCAAATCCACCACCTCCTCCCCATGAATAGCACAGATACATTGTTTTGTCCTGAAACCATAGAACCACCTGTAGCACCAGATTTATATTTGAACCATTTTTCTTCTATTGATCTTCCTGAACTGACCTTATTAGTTTCATCATTTAAACCAACAACTTGTCTATTAGACTCTGTCCCAACTAGACTGTTTTAAGAAAGTTTTCCCTAATTGACAGTTCCATATTAAATCAGATTAATATGTCTTTGTTAACCGCCTATGTACCACAAGCTTTTACGGTAGCTGTTATTAAACCTCTGCTTCAAAAGCCCACTCTTGATCCAGAGGTTTTAGATAATTATAGACCCATATAAATCCTGCCCTTCATTTCAAAAATCCTAGAAAAAGCTGTTGCTAATGTCGTATATTGGGGTA